TATGGGGAAAATTAACTTGACTAACGATAATTTTGACTAACGATGAGCTCTCAGGAACGGATTAATATCGCTGGTTGAGGGTCCACTATACTAAATAAGCTACCATGGCTCCAAAGAAAGCTCCTAGTGCCAAGCCTGTGGTAAAGAAGGTGAGAAATGTGATTGAATTTAAGAAAAACATCATTGAACAATATGAAAGTGGCACAAGTACGGCCGAACTGGCCAGGATGTATAAGAAACCCTACACAACCATATGTTCCATAGTGGCCAAGAAAAAGAAAATCAAGGATGCTGTTGTTACAAAGGGGGTAACTATGCTGACAAAAATGAGATCACCAGTACTTAAAGATGTTGAGAGTTATTATTGGTGTGGATAAACGAGAAACAATTAGCAGGAGTTACTCTTATGACTTCGATTATTTGTGAAAAGGCTAGGCAGTTGAACAACGATCTGGTAAAGAAATTGCCTGCAAATAGTGGTAATGTGAGTGAATTTAAGGCCAGCAGAGGTTGGTTTGAGAGATTTAAGAACCGTACTGGCATACACAGTGTGGTAAGGCATGGTGAGGCTGCCAGTTCGGACCACAAGGCGGCTGAAAAATATGTGCATGAATTCAAGGAGTACATAGAGGCTGAAGGACTGAAACCTGAACAAGTGTTCAATTGTGACAAAACAGGCCTCTTTTGGAAGAAAATGCCAAAGAGGACCTTCATTACACAGGAGGAAAAGGCAATGCCAGGACACAAGCCTATGAAAGACAGGCTGACGCTCATGTTCTGTGCTAATGCTAGTGGGGATTTCAAAGTGAAGCCATTACTAGTGTACCATTCTGAAAATCCCAGAGTGTTAAGGAAAAACAATGTTATGAAGAGTAAATTGTGTGTGTTTTGGAAATCTAATAGGCATGGGTCACGAGGGAAATTTTCGTCGAGTGGTTCAATGAAGTGTTTTATCCCTAGTGTGAAGGAGTATCTCCTGGAATAGAAATTGGATCTCAAGTGCCTGCTAGTAATGGACACTGCACCTGCTCATCCTCCAAACTTGGATGACCTAATTTTCGAGGAGTTTGGGTTCATCACAGTAAAGTTCTTGCCCCCGAATACCACACCTCTCCTCCAGCCCATGGACCAGCAGGTCATTGCAAACTTTAAAAAACTCTACACCAAAGCAATGTTTGAAAGGTGCTTGACTGTGATCACAGACACCCACTTGACCCTAAGGGAATTTTGAAGAGAACACTTCAGCATCCTCCATTGCATAACCCTTATAGGTATGGCTTGGGAGTGACAACCAGGACTTTGAACTCTGCTTGGAGAAAATTGTGGCCAGATTGTGTCGACAAGAGGGATTTTGAAGGATTAGGGACTGACCCTGATGAGCCTATCTCTGTTGTTAAATCAATTGTGGCACTGGGGAGTTACATGGCACCGAATGTGAGTTTGGAGGATGTGGAAGAGTTGGTGGAAGACCACAATGAAGAGCTCACCACTGAGGAGCTGCAAGAGCTTTAGCTGGAACAGCAACAGATTGCAGCTCAGAATTTTGCTGCAAAGGAGGAGGAAGAGAGATGGAAGAAGGTGCCTTCTTCAGAAATTAAAGAGATTTTTGCTATGTGGGGTAAGATGGAAAGCTTTATGGAGAAACATCACCCTGACAAGGTTGTTGCAAGCCATGTTGGCAACATGTACAGTGACAAAGTCCTGGGCCATTTTAGGGAAGTGTTAAAGAGACGCCAGAAACAGAGCTCTCTCCACAGTTATTTTGCAAGACAGGACTCCAGTGACTCTCAAGGTGGTCCTAGTGGCATTAAGAAACAGAGAAGAGAAGCAACCCCAGAAAAGCAATTGGTACCTGAGGTGTTGCTGGAAGGGGATTCCCCTTCCAAACTGCAAACAATTCAATCTCTCTCCTCCTCCATTCTCCCATACACTAAGAAGAATCTCCAATAAAGGTAAGTGTTATGCTGTTAATGTTTCATTCATCATTTCCCATTGTATTGTTTATGTACTACATCCATATTTCATGTAAAAAATTATTTTGTTTTAATACTTCTGGGTGTCAGGAACGGATTAATTGTATTTACATTATTCCTTATGGGGAAAATTGAATCGAAAATCGTAAATTTCGATAATAGTAGCAACTCCAGAAACGGATTAACTACGAAAAATGAGGGACCACTGTATATGGAATAGGTGGTAAGTTACTAAATGCTGTAAAGAGTTTTTATGAGGATAGTGAGGCTCAGGTTAGAGTGTGTAGAAGAGAGGGAGACTACTTCCTGGTAAAAGTAGGTCTTAGACAGGGATGTGTAATGTCACCATGGTTGTTTAACCCTTTGACTGTCGCGGCCGTATATATAACGTCTTACGAGGTACCGTGTTTGACGTATACTCATAAATTCTAGCGGCTTCAAATCAAGCAGGAGAAAGCTGGTAGGAAAACATGTGAGAGAATGGGTCTGTGTGGTCAGTGTGCACCATATAAAAAAAAATCCTGGAGCACGCAGTGCATAATGAGAAAAAAAAAACTGACTTTTTTTTTAATTAAAATGCCAACTTTGTGGTCTATTTTTGTATAGTATTTATGGTTGTATTCTCGTTTTCTTGGTCTCATTTGATAGAATGGAAAACATATTATAGAAATAGAGGTGATTTTGATTGATTTTACTATAAAAATAACCTAGAAATGGAGCTCAAAGTAGGGGAAATGTTTGATTTTTGCCAATGTTCAAAAGTAAACAAATGATGCCATTGTCCAATAAATGTCCAACTAGCCATTCTAATATGCAGTCATGAATGGGTTGGTGTTATTTATACAATTATTACAGTATTGCAGTAGTCTGCATAATAGTAAGTCTTCTATTTTTTGTTTGAATAAAAATTCAAAATAGAAAGCAAGAGTAATATCAGAGGAGCCTGGAGACATGACTGATGAGCAAAGAAAATGTTATTTGAGAGCCAGGAATGTCTGCATTGTTCATTCTGGACCGTATTTTGAAATTGTCATATTTTTTAGTTTTCGTGAAATTGGCCAAATTGCAAATTTCTGACCACATTATTAGGTAGTTAAAATCGGTAAATGGGCGGTTTCTTGTACTCAATCGATAGAAAAAATGGAGTTCTAAGGAAATAGCTATGAGTTTGGGCGACTGGAAAAATGGAATTAGCCGAAAATAGGGCTCAAAGTGGGTAAAATCGCCGATTTGTAAACAGAGCCGAGGTTGCTAACTTCGCGAGAGCATAATTCCGTCAGTTTTCCATCAAATTTCGTTTTATTGGTGTCATTACAATCGGGAAAAGATTCTCTATCATTTCATAAGAAAAAATAATTTTTTTTTTTAAATTTTGCGACACCAGGAGACACCTCAGGATTGGGGGTTGCGACAGTCAAAGGGTTAATATATTTATAGATAGGGTTGTAAAAGAAATAAATGCTAGGGTGTTTGGGAGAGGGGTGGGATTAAATTATGGGGAATCAAATACAAAATGGGAATTGACACATTTACTTTTTGCTGATGATACTGTGCTTATGGGGAATTCTAAAGAAAAATTGCAAAGGTTAGTGGATGAGTTTGGGAGTGTGTGTAAAGGTAGAAAGTTGAAAGTGAACATAGAAAAGAGTAAGGTGATGAGGGTATCAAATGATTTAGATAAAGAAAAATTGGATATCAAATTGGGGAGGAGGAGTATGGAAGAAGTGAATGTTTTCAGATACACTTGGGAGTTGACGTGTCGGCGGATGGATTTATGAAGGATGAGGTTAATCATAGAATTGATGAAGGAAAAAAGGTGAGTGGTGCGTTGAGGTATATGTGGAGTCAAAAAACGTTATCTATTGAGGCAAAGAAGGAAATGTATGAAAGTATAGTAGTACCAACACTCTTATATGGGTATGAAGCTTGGGTTGTGAATGCAGCAGCAAGGAGGCGGTTGGAGGCAGTGGAGATGTCCTGTCTAAGGGCAGTGTGTGGTGTAAATATTATGCAGAAAATTCGGAGTGTGGAAATTAGGAGAAGGTGTGGAGTTAATAAAAGTATTAGTCAGAGGGCTGAAGAGGGGTTGTTGAGGTGGTTTGGTCATTTAGAAAGAATGGATCAAAGTAGAATGACATGGAGAGCATTTAAATCTGTAGAAGGAAGGCGGGGTAGGGGTCGTCCTCGAAAAGGTTGGAAGGAAGAGGTAAGGGAGGTTTTGTGGGCAAGGGGCTTGGACTTCTAGCAGGCGTGCATGAGCGTGTTCGATAGGAGTGAATGGAGACGAATGGTATTTGGGAACTGATGATCTGTTGGAGTGTGAGCAGGGTAATATTTAGTGAAGGGATTCAGGGAAACCGGTTATTTTTATATAGCCGGACTTGAGTCCTGGAAATGAGAAGTACAATGCCTGCACTCTAAAGGAGGGGTTTGGGATATTAGCAGTTTGGAGGGATATGTTGTGTATCTTTATACGTATATACTTCTAAACTGTTGTGTTTTGAGCACCTCTGCAAAAACAGTGATTATGTGTGAGTGAGGTGAAAGTGTTGAATGATGATGAAAGTATTTTCTTTTTGGGGATTTTCTTTCTTTTTGGGTCACCCTGCCTCGGTGGGAGACGGCCGACTTGTTGAAAAAAAAAAAAATATCCCTCCTGTTAGTATTTTAATAATAATTTGGATAACACTTGTATACAGATAATATGCTTATATATACTGAAAATGAATTGAGGATTTTGCAGTTCAGAATGAAACCTAGTGTACTTCAATGAGAACACCTGCAATTTATGTAAACTTTGATATTAATGAGCTTTCCCTTTCCTCTTACATCAATAATCCTGTATTACACAATGAAGACTGTTGTGCACACATTGCATATACAATACCTGAGACTTATCACTTTCTTTTTAAGAAATTTATTCAGCAGCAAAATGACCCTTAAAGATTTTTTTTTTCAGGATTGCAAGCATCTGTTATAATAATTAGATTTGAAGAGCTGTTTATTATTTATTTTTTCTTTTAATAAACTGACCATATCCCACCGAGGCAGGGTGGCCCAAAAAGAAAAACGAAAGTTTCTCTTTTTAACTTTAGTAATGTATACAGGAAAAGGGGTTACTAGCCCCTTGCTCCTGGCATGTTAGTCACCTCTTGCAACACATATGGCTTATGCCAGAAGAATTCTGTTCCACTTCCCCATGGAAATAAGAGGAAATAAACAAGAACAAGAACTAGTAAGAAAAATAGAAGAAAATGCAGAGGGGTATGTATGTTTATGTTTGTACATGCATGTGTAGTGTGACCTAAGTGTAAGAAGAAGTAGTGAGATGTACCTGAAATCTTGCATGTTTTTATTATTTATTTATAGAAAAATAAACTTTACTATAACCATGTAACATGTGGTATATGGAGAGTACTGTATTCCTATTTAAACTTCATATAATTCAGATAATTAAAGGCCACCCTGCCTTGGTGGGATATGGCCAGTTTGATGAAAAAAAATAATTCAGATAGTTTAAGAAATCCTGAAAATTCTAATTAGTACTAAGTGAAAAATCTAAAAGAGATTAATTGAAAATCTAAGAAGAGTTGAACCATACTTATTCACAAAGTAAATTATTTATTCACTTAATATAAATGTAACTGAATATATAATTCTTTTGGTAACCCCACACCTCTTTCTAACCTCCAAACTCTGAATTCTCTGCATAATATTCATGTTACACATTGCCCTTAAACACAATATATTCCCTGCCTCCAACCTGCCCTCAAACACAACATATTTCCTGCCTCCAGCCTCCTCCTCACACACACACACCCAACACTCATAAGGGTGTGAAACATGGGTCTTAAATGATGAAGTGAGGAGATGTCATGTTTAAGAGTAATGTGTGGTGTGACTATTATATAGAGAATTTGGAGTCTGGAGATTAGGAGGTGTGGGATTATCGAAAGTGTTATTCAGAAGGCTGAGGATAGTTGAGGTGGTTTGGACATTTAGAGAGAATGGAGCAAAATAGGATGACTAGAAGCATGTGTAAATCCAAAATGGAGGGAAGGAGGTCTAGGGGTCATCCTAGGAAAAGTTGGATGGAAGGGATGTAAAGGAGGTTTTGTATATAATGGGCTTGGACATCCAACAGGCTTGTGTTAGATAGGAGTGGAGGCAAGTGGCTTTTATGATTTGATGTGCTGTTGGATTATGAGCAAGGTAACATCTGTGAAGGGTTAGCTGGACTTGAGTCCTGGAGATGGTAAGTAGTGTTTTCACTCTGAAGGAGGGGTGGGAATGTTGCAGTTTGGAGGGTCATTTGAACTCTGGTAAGACAGTGACTGAATGAGAATGAAAATGTTGCTTCCTCTTCTCGTCACCCTACCTCAGTGGGAACAGTCCAGGTTGTTAAAAAAATTAAGAAAAACAAAATAGAACGTAGAAAATACTATTTATTAATTTTATAGATATAAAAAAATATACAGCATTGCACTCTACCAGGAAACACAGTATGTAAATATACATTATATGGTATTCAACCATTGTTATTCAGATCATCCCAAGTTAGAAATAACAAAATTGCAATAAATATATGGAAGAGCAATTTGTGCAAATATTTATATTAATATTTGTTATGTCTATATAAAATTCTTTTTATCACCTTCAAAGCTAAGGGAAGAACAGTTGAGGGAAATCATACCCCCATTCTAGCTGCTAGACATCCATAAAACATTTCCAGCTTTCCTTCATCACAGATCTCATTAAGTAACTTACTTTTATATATTGATAATGTGTCCATGTTAATTTTCTGCTACAACAGAAATTTTACCAACTGCAGAATTTTAAAGTTTATTTCTTTTCCATACTGAGTAATCTTAGCCTTATCTTGTTTATAAAGCAGTGCAGCAGAAGAATACTCTGTGTATATCTTTGATGATTGGTTTCCTTCAGGAACTGCCCACTTTTTGAAAAGGTTACATTTAGAATAATTTTCAGATACAGTGTATCAGATGACTTCAAGCTTTCCAATCTTCAAAAAGTACCTGAAACATTCATCAAAAGTTTATCAGAAATAAAGTTGGAGTATGGGTTACTAGGAAGAAAGAATAGATAGAAAAATATGGTACCTAGGGATTGGCAGAGAGCATATATAGTCCCTTTATATAAAGGGAAAGGGGACAAAAGAGATTGTAAAAATTATAGAGGAATAAGTTTAGTGAGTATACCAGGAAAAGTGTACGGTAGGGTTATAACTGAAAGAATTAGAGGTAAGACAGAATGTAGGATTGCGGATGAGCAAGGAGGTTTCAGAGTGGGTAGGGGATGTGTAGATCAAGTGTTTACATTGAAGCATATATGTGAACAGTATTTAGATAAAGGTAGGGAAGTTTTTATTGCATTTATGGATTTGGAAAAGGCATATGATAGAGTGGATAGAGGAGCAATGTGGCAGATGTTGCAAGTATATAGAATAGGTGGTAAGTTACTAAATGCTGTAAAGAGTTTTTATGAGGATAATGAGGCTCAGGTTAGGGTGTGTAGAAGAGAGGGAGACTACTTCCCGGTAAAAGTAGGTCTTCGACAGGGATGTGTAATGTCACCATGGTTGTTTAATATATTTATAGATGGGGTTGTAAAAGAAGTAAATGCTAGGGTGTTCAGGAGAGGGGTGGGATTAAATTATGGGGAATCAAATTCAAAATGGGAATTGACACAGTTACTTTTTGCTGATAATACTGTGCTTATGGAGATTCTAAAGAAAAATTGCAAAGGTTAGTGGATGAGTTTGGGAATGTGTGTAAAGGTAGAAAGTTGAAAGTGAACATAGAAAAGAGTAAGGTGATGAGGGTATCAAATGATTTAGATAAAGAAAAATTGGATATCAAATTGGGGAGGAGGAGTATGGAAGAAGTGAATGTTTTCAGATACTTGGGAGTTGACGTGTCGGCGGATGGATTTATGAAGGATGAGGTTAATCATAGAATTGATGAGAGAAAAAAGGTGAGTGGTGCATTGAGGTATATGTGGAGTCAAAAAACGTTATCTATGGAGGCAAAGAAGGGAATGTATGAAAGTATAGTAGTACCAACACTCTTATATGGGTGTGAAGCTTGGTGGTAAATGCAGCAGCGAGGAGACGGTTGGAGGCAGTGGAGATGTCCTGTCTAAGGGCAATGTGTGGTGTAAATATTATGCAGAAAATTCGGAGTGTAGAAATTAGAAAAAGGTGTGGAGTTAATAAAAGTATTAGTCAGAGGGCAGAAGAGGGGTTGTTGAGGTGGTTTGGTCATTTAGAGAGAATGGATCAAAATAGAATGACATGGAAAGCATATAAATCTATTGGGGAAGGAAGGCGAGGTAGGGGTCGTCCTCGAAAGGGTTGGAGAGAGGGGGTAAAGGAGGTTTTGTGGGCGAGGGACTTGGACTTCCAGCAAGCGTGCATGAGCGTGTTAGATAGAAGTGAATGGAGACGAATGGTACTTGGGACCTGACGATCTGTTGGAGTGTGAGCAGGGTAATATTTAGTGAAGGGATTCAGGGAAACCAGTTATTTTCATATAGTCGGACTTGAGTCCTGGAAATGGGAAGTACAATGCCTGCACTTTAAAGGAGGGGTTTGGGATATTGGCAGTTTGGAGGGATATGTTGTGTATCTTTATACGTATATGCTTCTAAACTGTTGTATTCTGAGCACCTCTGCAAAAACAGTGATAATGTGTGAGTGTGGTGAAAGTGTTGAATGATGATGAAAGCATTTTGTTTTGGGGGATTTTCTTTCTTTTTTTGGGTCATCCTGCCTCAGTGGGAGATGGCTGACTTGTTGAAAAAAAAAAAAATTAACTACTGTACAGTATTTAGCCATTCTTTGTTTTGATTAACAAAATAAATTATTCCTTATTACTGCAACATACTAACAAAAAAAAATCAACTCATCTTTTGTTTTGCATACCACTTTATACTAGTCCAATAAACCAAAAATATTGTACTAGTTTCCAAAATAAATGTAAAATAAGTTCCAACATGCAAAAAATCGTAAATCAGTATTTCATTGGATTTTTTTTTTTAACACTTCAGCCATTTCCCACTGAGGCAGGGTGACCCAAAAAGAAAGAAAAAACTTTCATCATCATTCATACATAATCACTACTGACACAAACCTAACTAACAAGGCCTGGTCTCAGACCAGGCCACGAGGGCATTGACCCCCAAAACCCTCTCCAGGTATACCCCAGGTGAAGAAGTTTTACTCTTAAGTGTCCCATAACGTTCAAGTAAGAAAACTCCTCTTGCCCTAGCAATTTCACCCAGAGGCATTCTTGTCATGGTATACATGTATATTGAGTAGAAAACGTATATCATCATGTTTTGCTAACAATGTCAGGAATCTCTGATATTTGGAAAAGCTACAGGAAAAACATAGACACCATTTTGGATTTAAGGGTAATGGGTAAAAGCCTGTTAAGTTTTTCTTTAGATGGGAGTTTTATTTAACATTATTTCCAGCGAATCACTGTCTGTCTGATTCATTGGAAATAATGTTTAATAAAACTCCCATCTAATGAAAAACTTAACAGGCTTTTATCCATTACCCTTAAATCCAAAATGGTGTCTTATGTTTTTCCTGTAGCTTTTCGAAATATCAGATGTTCCTGACATTGTTAGCAAAGCATGATGATATATGTTCTTCTTTCTTCTTTCAACGATATATGTTCTCTACTCAATATATTCCATGACAAGAATGCCTCAAGGTGAAACTGCTAGAGCAAATGAAGTTTTCCTTGAACGTTATGGGACACCTAAGAGTAAAATCTCTAAGTTGGGTTTGTGTCAATAGCTTAAACGAAGCAATTGGTCACAGTAACATTAAAGTTAAACTTGCAAAACTTCTGCCCATAACAGGAGCTGAACATATGCACAGCTTGTGTAAATCTGTGTATTGTTAGCATAAAGATGATAATCAACCCCATGGGCATTCAAGAGTAAAGCTAAGCAGCTAGCCTAAACAGTAAACAAGACTGGTCCGAAGAACAGAGCCCTGAGGAATGCCACAAGGCAATGTAAATGGCTCAGCAGCTAAAAGCTGCTTTGGTAGTAAGGCAGTATAGTAAGATTAAACAAAAGTCTGAGTGAAAAGTTAAAATTTTTAAATAGCAAAATAAAACCTAAAATATTGAATCTGCCTGTGGGGTCACACTGACCATAATGTTCTTCAAATTACAGCAGCAAAAATTTAGGATTTTTAAAAAGTAATTTCAACCTTGTCAGAATGGAAATGTATGAAAAATAATTTGCTTCATAAATCTCTCTATATGCTATTCATATTACAATACTGCGAATAAATAAGGGCAGGACCTGGATAATTGTAGCTATGAGCTGGAATGGAGTTCCTTCATCCGTGACCTGGAATCCATGAAGCAAATTGAAAACTGATCACGTCCCATCAGTGCTAAGGAAGAGCCTGAAGGATGCCACCTATGACAAATAAAAAAAATCATTACAAAAATTTGAAATCACTCAAAGCTCCCACCGTTACAGATTTGTGCATAAGAGCTTTGTATGTCGGATATATTGTACCAAACTAGAAGTGTATACTTGTCTATATTTCTTTGATTATAATAATAATAATAATAATAATACTTGTCTATAGACTTAATTAAAATGTGTGCCAAGTTCTAAACTTATTGAAATGTACAGCATTTTATCACAAGTTTATGATTATGCCAGTGTAAATTAATGTCTTCAATACATAATAACTTAACTCCATTATCTATAGCAAGTGACCTGTTATTAATGACAGCACTACTATTAGAAGAAATATAGTACATATATTTATCTCCATGGGGAAGTGGAAATGAATCCTTCCTTGTAAGCCATGCATGTTATAAAAGGTGACGAAAATACCAGAAGCAAGGGGCTAGTATCCCCTTCTCCTGTATAATTTTTTTTAACATGTCATCCATTTCCCACTAAGGCAGGGTAACCCAAAAAGAAAGAAAAAAAAACTCATTATCATTCAACACTTTCACCATCACTCATACCAAATCACTGTGTTTGCAGAGGCACTCAGATATGACAGTTAGGATGTCCCTCCAAACTGCCAATATCCTAAACCCCTCCTTTAAAGTGTAGGCATTGTATTTCCCATTTCCAGGATTCAAGTCTGGCTAACTGGTTTCCCTGAATCCCTTCACAAAATATTACCCTGCTCACACTCCAACAGCCCATCAGGTCCAAAAAACCATTCGTTTCCATTCACTCCTAACACACTCATGCATGCTTGCTGGAAGTTCAAGCCCTCTCACCCACAAAACCTCCTTTACCCCCTCCCTCCCAACATTTTCGAGGACGACCCCTACCCCACCTTCCTTCCCCTACAGATTTATAGGCTCTCCAAGTCATTCTACTTTGTTCCATTCTCTCTAAATGACCAAACTAGCTCAACAACCCCTCTTCAGCCCTCTGACTAATACTTTTAGTAACTCCATACCTGTATAAATTCTTATTCTTTCAACAAACCGGCCGTATCCCACCAAAGCAGGGTGGCCCAAAAAGAAAAGCAAAAATTTCTCTTGTCAACTTTAGTAATGTATACAGGGTAAGGGGTTACTAGCCCCTTGCTCCTGGCATTTTAGTTGCCTCTTATGACATGCATGGCTTATGGAGGAAGAATTCTGTTCCACTTCCCTATGGAGATAAGAGGAAATAAACAAGAACAAGAACTAGTAAGAAAATAAAAGAAAACCCAGAGGTGTGTGTATATATACGCTTGTACATGCATGTGTATTGTGATCTAAGTCACTGTTGTTGTTGGGGTTTATAGGGCCACCACAGCAGACATTCCTGCTCCTGACTACATGTGTTGAGAACCTAGGATAACCCAAAAAAGTCAGACAGAGTGACTTCTAATTGCTACACTCTTAATGATATACTTAATTGCTACACTTTTAATGCTACACTTTGTCACTGACTCCTTCTGTTTTAGTATTGTACATATCGTAGAAGTGGTATGCTGGTACTGTCCTTAACCCTCCCAGGGTACAAGGTTACTACCAGGGTACAACAAAATTGCTGCCAGGGTACAACAAGGATGCTACCAAGGTACAACAAGGTTACTACCAGGATACAACAAGGTTGCTACCAGGGTACAACAAGGTTGTTTTCAAGGTACAAGTTCTGCCACTGCTGCTTCATGTTGTCTGCCACTGCTGCTTCATGTTGTCTGTCACTGCTGCTTCATGTTGTCTGTCACTGCTGCTTCATGTTGTCTGCCACTGCTACCTCGTGATGTCAGCTCCCACTTTTGCTTTGCTAGCATGTTAAAGAGCTTTCCAATATGTGAAGGTTGAGGGGCAGTGCCAATAGACAGGTACTAGATGGTGATGTCATTTGTTTACTCTTCAACATTGCCAAAGAACTGAACATTTCTGTTACTTTGAGCTCAATTTCAAGGTACTTTTCATCGCGAAACCAATCAAAATCACATCAATTTCTGTAGTATATCTTCCATTCTATCAAATGAGACCAAAAAAACGAGAATACAACCATAAAAACCATATGAAAATATACCACTAAGGGGAGGCTAATGGCTGAGAAGTGAACTCCGTTATTTATGGTCCGATTTCTTTCATTTTTGGTGTACAATAAGAAGCATTTTTCCATCATATATTGCCCAAGTTTCATTAAGATAGTCCAACAAACAACTGAGATCCAATTCCCTAGATCAAGAGCAAGAGCCCCTCACCAGCTTGCATCTGGAAATTTCACTCGTGTATGGAAGCAAAAAGTCAACCGAGCAACTGCTCGTTTCTGGAAAAACTCGCACGTGGATGAGCTCATAAGTGGAGGTTCCACTGTACTTCCCATTTCCAGGACTCAAGTCTGGCTAAATCTATAATGACTGGTTTCCCTGAATCCCTTCACTAAAAATTACCCTGCTCACACTCCAACAGCTCGTCAAGTCCCAAAAACCATTCGTCTTCATTTACTCCTAACACACTCACACATGCTTGCTGGAAGTTAAAGCCCCTCACCCACAAAACCTCCTTTACCCCCTCCCTCCAACCTTTTTGAGGATGACCCCTACCCCCTCCTTCCTTCCCCTACAGATTTATATGCTCTCCAAGTCATTCCTCTTTGATCCATTCTCTAAATGACCAAACCACCTCAACAACCCCACTTCAGCCCTCTGACTAATACTTTTAGTAACTCCACACCTCCTAATTCCCACACTCCAAATTCTGTGCATAGTATTTACACCACACATTGCACTTAGACACGACATCTCTGCTGCCTCCAGCCACCTCCTCGCTGCAGCATTTACAACCCACGTTTCACACCCATATAAGAGTATTGGTACCACTATGCTTTCATACATTCCCTTCTTTCCCTCCATAGAAAACATTTTTTCTCCACAGATACCTCAATGCACCACTCACCTTTTTTCCTTCATCAATTCTACAGTTAACCTCATCCTTCATAAATACATCTGCTGACATGTCAACTCCCAAATAGATATCCAATTTTTTTTCATCTAAATCATTTGATACCCTCGTCACCTTACTCTTATCTATGTTCACTTTCAACTTTTATCTATGTTCACTTTCAACTTTCTACCTTTATGCACCCTCCCAAACTTGTCTACTAACCTTTGCAACTTTTCTTTAAAATCTCCCACAAGTACAGTATCATCAGCAAAATGTAACTGTGTCAACTCCCATTTTGTACTTGATTCCCCATAATTTAATCCCACTCCTCTCCCCAACACCCTAGCATTTACTTCTTATACAGCTCCATCTATAAATATATTAAACAACCATGGTGACATTACATAACCCCGCCTAACATCTACTTTACTATCCTCATAAAAACTCTTTACAGCATTTAGTAACTTACTACCTATTCCATACGCTTGCAACATCTGCCACATTGCTTCTCTATCCACTCTATCATATGCCTTATATAAATCCATAAATGCAATGAAAACTTCCCTACCTTTATCTAAATACTGTTCACATATATGCTTCAGTGTAAACACTTGATCTTCACATCCCCTACCCACTCTAAATCCTCCTTGCTCATCTGCAATCCTACTCTCTGTCTTACCTCTAATTCTTTCAATAATAACTCTACTGTACACTTTTCCTAGTATACTCAGTAAACTTATTCCCTTATAATTTTTACAATCTCTTTTGTCCCCCTTCCCTTTATATAAAGGAACTATAGATGCTCTCTGCCAATCCCTAGGTACCTTCCCTTCTTTCATACATTTATTAAACAAAAATACCAACCACTCCAACAAAATATCCCCCCCTGCTTTTAACATTTCTGTCATGATCCCGCCAGTTCCTGCTGCTTTACCCTTTTTCATTCTACGTAATGCCTCACGCACCTCCCCCACACTCACATCCTGCTCTTCTTCATCCCTAAAAGATGTTATACCTCCCTGACCAGTGCATGAAATTACCACCTCCCTTTCATCATCGACATTTAAAAGTTCCTCAACATATTCCCGCCATCTACCCAATACCTCCAGCGCCCCATCTACTAACTCCCCTACTCTGTTTTTAATTAATAAATCTATTCATTCCCTAGGCTTTCTTGTTTATCTCATTCCAAAATTTTTTTCTTATTTTCATCAAAATTTCTTGACAGTGCCTCTCCCACTCTTTCATCTGCTCTCCTTTTCCACTCTCTCACCACTCTCTTCACCTTTCTTTTACTCTCCATATACTCTGCTCTTCTTACAACACTTCTGCTTTGTAAAAACCTCATAAGCTACCTTTTTCTCTTTTATCACACCCTTTACTTCATTCCACCAATCACTCCTCTTTCCTCCTGGACCCACCTTCCTATAGCCACAAACTTCTACCCCACTTTCTAACGCTGCATTTTTAAAACTATCCCAACCCTCTTCATCCTCCTCACTACTCATATTTGCATTAGCCCACCTTTCTGCCAATAGTTGCTTATATCTCACCCTAACTTCCTCCTCCCTTAGTTTATACACTTTCACCTCTCTCTTACTTACTGTTGCCCTTTTTCTTTTGTCCCATCTACCTCTAACTGTAGCTACAACTAAATAATGATCTGATATATCCGTTGCCCCCTTTATAAACATGTACATCCTGAAGCCTACCCCTCAACCTTTTATCCACCAATACATAATCTAACAAACTACTTTCATTACATGCTATATCATACCTTGTATATTATTTATCCTCTTTTTCATAAAATATGTATTACTTATTACCAAACCTCTTTCTACACAAAAATCACTCACTACGAAAGCAAAAGACTTGGTAGATGATGCAACATCCCCCCAATGAAAAGCAGGGGTGTCACTAGCACGTTAAGAGACCATACAATAAGTGTCAGGGGCCCGAGACTGTTCAACTGCCTCCCAGCATACATAAGGGGGATTACCAACAGACCCCTGGCAGTCTTCAAGCTGGCACTGGACAAGCACCTAAAGT